CCTCCTCCCTCCCACCCCGGCCGCCAGGTCCCCAGCCACCCGCCGGGCTTGGGCCTGAGTGCCAGAGGCGCCGGCAGCTGCCAATCCCAAAAATATTCTCTGATGACACAGCTGGAGGACAAGCGCCCCGACTGGCTGCTCCAGGCTAAGTTTAGAGCAGGCGGGACCACCTGCCCCGCACACACACTACCCCCACTTGCAGCCGCAGCCCTGCCTCCAACGACGGCCCAGCAGCTGCTCGTTTGAAAGGGGCCCCAGAAGGTCTCAGGGGCTGGTGCATTGTCTCCTGGACAAATAACACTTTCAGGAGCTGGCAGACCCCCGCTCCCAGCCCAGCCTCCTGTCCCACCTGATGTCACTTTTGTGCTGGGTCTGGGATGTTGCATTGGGGGGGGGGAGGGGACGGGGTTGTGTGTGTGGGTCAGGTCACTTGGGGTGAAAACCCTCCCCAGCAGCCTCCCCCACATTCCTGGCGGGAGTGGGAGATAAGGCTCAGGGCCACAGACATCTGCGTCAGAGACGAGGTCTCAATGCCATAGGCAGGGGCAACCCAGACTGCAGGGTGTGGGAAGGCCTGGGGAAGACTGGGGTGAGAAGGGTAGAAGAGGGCGGGTGGTGGGATGGGGAGGGGAGAGTGGGGAGGCGCTGGGCAGACCCTGACAGAGGGGCACAGGGCAGGGTGTGGGTTCACGACTGGCAGAGACAGGTGAGCTATGGTGCTCCAGCTGTCGCTGCTGCTCCTCTTACTGGTGGCCCCACAGTGGGGGCGTGGTTGCCGTGGGCCAGAGCTGGACCGGGACCTGGTCCTGGCCAAGGTGAGGGCCCTGTTCCTCGATGCCTTGGGGCCCCCAGCAGGGACCGGTGAAGGTGGGGATCCTGGAGTCAGGCGTCTGCCCCGAAGACATGCTGTGGGGGGCGTCGCACGCAGGGGCCCCGAGCCTGAGGAGGAGGAGGGTGTCTCCCAGACCATCATTTTCCCAGCTACAGGTAATGCGGATGGGGAACTGGCGACTCTGAGGAGCACTGGGGTATGTAGCGTGGGACTGGAAGGCAGGCAGACCTGGCTTTGAATCCCAGACCTGCCACTCAACTGCCTTTGCAACAGTGGGCCGATTCCTAACCCCCCCTGGGCCTCTGCCTCATCTATGAAATGGGCAGTAATGCCTGCCTCTCAGGATTCAAGGAGATGGTGTATTCAGAGTGCACGGCTCATAGGAGGGATTAGGGGGATTTTCGCCTGCGAGGCTAAGGGTCTCAAGACACAGAGATATCTGGGTGTGGGCCCCTTGCTGCCACCTTTCCTCTAATTTCTGCCCTTGCTCCCTGCTCCAAACCTTGTTTCTTTAGCCCCAAGTAGCTGGCACTTGAGAAGACATCAGGGATGCAGGGAAAAGATTAGTTGGGAAACTTTTCTGGGATACTTAGTTCCACCTTCTCTTGCGCTGCTGTCTCACTTCCCCTTGTTCCACAGACTCAATGAGTAAAGGCCTCCTCTGGGTGGACTTTCCTGTAACCCGGCCCACCTTTCTTTTAGGGAGGACCCTGCCTCCCTGTTCTTCAGTCCCCATGAAGCACAGTGAGTAAAAGTGTGGCTTTGGGATCAGGCGGAATCCCAGCCTGGTCACTTAGAAGTTAAATGCCACTTTACCTTTCTAATCCTCAGTTTCTTTATCTGCAAAACGGGTCCGTTGTTGTGAGGTTTATAATGAGGTAATTCCTGTAACAGTATAGCCCCATTCGCCACCTCCTCAGCTGGTACTGGTTTGTGCTTGCTGGGTGCAGCCTGCGGACCCGTGGGGTAAGGATGCCCGTGGCACTTCCTCAGGACGCCCCGTCTTTATTCTCGGTGGTGCCCTTCCTCCTCTCCCTGCCCTTCCCCTTCTCCTTTCTGATGCTACTCTCTTTATAATGCGGACTTATTTTAAAGAGTTTATCACGTACCATTTCTGACGTGTAAAAAGACATAAAGAGAAATGCAACAAATGCCTGTGTACATACATTCAAGTGATCCTTTCTCACCATTGGATGAACAAAAATTTAAGTCTAATGAATAATTCCCAGTGTTGGTGTAGGTGGAGTGGCGGGGCCTCTTGCACATTGCTGATGGGAATATTAATTGGGAAAACCACATTAGAGAGAAGTTGGCAATGTCTTGTATTTTAAAAATCCGTCAACGATGAAATAATAAATGGGGAGCCTCTGCCGGTTCTCCCAAGACTGGGGAGAGTCCCTAAGTCTGCCAGAGCACTCGGCAGAGCTTTGCAGGCGCCTGTCTAGGAGGAGAGGTCAGGGGTTCTGCCAGTTGGGGCTGCCCTCCCTCCATCCTCTGTCTCCTGCAGGTGCCCGCTGTGAGGACCAGCGAGCTGCGGGAGAGCTGGCCCAGGAGGCTGAGAAGGGCCTCTTCACATATATGTTCCGACCATCCCAGAACACACGCAGCCGCCAGGTGACTTCAGCCCAGCTGTGGTTCCATACAGGACTGGACAAGCGGGGCATAGCAGCCTCCAACAGCTCTGGGCCCCTGCTAGGCCTGCTGGCCCTGTCATCTGGGGGTCCCATGGCGGTACCTATGTCACTAGGCCAGGCACCCCCTCGCTGGGCTGTGCTGCACCTAGCCGCTTCCGCCCTCCCTCTGCTGACCCATCCGGTCCTGGTCCTCCTGCTGCGATGTCCTCTGTGTTCCTGCTCAGCCCGGCCTGAGACCACGCCCTTCTTGGTGGCCCACACACGGGCCAAGCCACCCATCGGAGGGGAAAGAGCCCGACGCTCCACTCCCCTGCTGCCCTGGCCTTGGTCTCCCACTGCACTGCGCCTGCTGCAGAGGCCTCCAGAGGAACCTGCTGTCCATGCTCACTGCCACAGAGCAGCCCTCAACATCTCCTTCCAGGAGCTGGGCTGGGATCGGTGGATCGTGCACCCTCCCAGTTTCATCTTCCACTACTGTCACGGGGGCTGTGGGCTGCCCACCCAACCAGACCTGTCTCTGCCAGTCCCTGGAGCTCCCCCTACCCCTGTCCAGCCCCTTTCTCTGGTGCCAGGGGCCCAGCCCTGCTGTGCTGCTGTCCCAGGGACCATGAGGTCCCTACGTGTCCGCACCACCTCAGATGGGGGTTACTCTTTCAAGTATGAGACAGTGCCCAACATTCTCACGCAGCACTGTGCTTGTGTCTAAGGGAGTCCTGCTGGTGGTCAAGCCCCGTCTATCACCTGCTGGGAGGAAGGGCAGAATTCAGAAAATAGATGTTTCCCATTTCCCCTCTCCTTCCACTTCTCTGCCTGAGAGCTCCCCTCCTGCCCCACCTCTGCGACAATAAACAACCCAGTGCATATAATGCATAGGACTTGACATTGCTTTCTAGGGCTTCTCTGATATGGTCAGGGTGGCAGGGAGGTCTGCTCCCTGGGAGCACGGGATTGTGGGATCTCAGGTGGCTCAGCCTCCCTTGACCTCGGAGATCTGGGATTCAAGAGCTGGATTTGGATGCCTGTCTGGTGGGAAGCTACAATGCTTGGGGTTGACACAAAGGCGCTCCAAGCTCCCAACAGCCACTCTAGAGACAGAACTGGCCCTCATGCCAGCTGGACCTGGTATGTCAATCGGGTTGTCCGCCCTTCTACACCTAAAGACAACTGAGGCACGCAGAGTGTCTCCCCTGACGGGAGCCCCTCCCCTGCCATTCTCTGCCTTAGCTGATGGACACCTAGCCGAAGGCAGGTGATTGTAGACTGGCAGGAGATCGTAGCTTGGGGCCCCACTAAGACAGGTGTTCAGAGCTGGTCAGAGCTTGGATTTCTCAGGAACTTCGGTGGGGTGGAAGGGAAAGATGTATGAGTTGGCAGCATCCGAAAGTTGACAAGGGCAGAGAGGAGGTGGAAGAATAAAGGTCTGAGGATTTGAATTTGCTGAGGGCCCTGGAACTCCCTCAAACCTGTCCCTGGGTCTTGGTGTAGCCCTTCGTGAAGCCTGGTTCCTGAAACCTTAGGCTCCTTAGATGCACCCTGTGTATCTCTCTCTCGCTCTCTCTTTTTAAATCCTCAACCGAGGTAGAGAGATTTTTCTTTTTTTAGAGAGGGGGAAGGGGGGCGGGAGAGAAACATGGATTGGTTGCCTCCAGCACAAGCTCTGACGGGAGCGAACCCTCAACTTGGGTATGTGCCCTGACCAGGAATTGAATCTTTTGGTGTTGGGACAACACTCCAACCACCTGAGCCATGCCCGGCTGGGCCACCCTGTGTCTCTTTACGTTACCCCTTAATTCAGTCCTTGACATTGGAATTGTGGAAAGGCCAGGCCTACGGCTAGAAAAACGTATGCTCTTGTATGAGTCTGTGGGCACACTTTGTGTACATGCCAAGTCCAGAGCAGAGTGCAGAGAGCCCCTTTCTTTCCCACTGGGCCCATTCTGCCTGCTTTTTTACTCCCCTCCTGCCTGGGTCTTGTTATCTTCCTGCCCTACCCCAGGCTCTGGCTCTCAGCCAGCTGGTTTCATCCAGCCTCCCTTTAATGGGGGTGGTGTGGAGGGAGGGTTGGGGATGCTCAGGTCCCTCGGACTGAAATTCTAGAGCACTTTCTCACACCGACTGCACAAATGCAGTGTGTATTTCTGCTGACATAGTGGCTCATCAAAGACTCCTTCCTCCTAACCCAGCTGAATGGGGAGAGCCAGCAAGCAGCTGCCCAGGAAGGGGATGTGGGGGGAGAGAACTTCCTCGGCACCCGTTGGCTAACGCCTTCCCCTACCTGAGCTGAGCTGAATGTTCCTCGAAGCACAAGAGCCCCCAGAGCAGCCCTCCGCCACACTCCTGCTGTAGCCTTGGTCTCTGCTGACACTGAATCCCAGAGGGAGCTGGTGCTGCTCTGGAGAGATCTGCCCGTCATAGCTCCGAGTCTCTCCCACACCTCATGTAGGCAGCTGGTCTGTGCTCAGGGCTCCTGGGATTGCTACTCAGGCAGAGCTCTGGGGAGACGACTGGCTGGCCTCAGCCGGTGCTGGGAAGGGGAGGTTTGCCTCAAGCCTACCCGAGCACCACTCCCTCCCTGTGGCTGCCCTGGCCAGACCCTCCCTGCCGGAGAGGGGCCTTTCCCTGGGATCTTCAACCCTCCTACTGGGCTCAGGATCCTCCTTCCTCTTGCTGGGGCTGCCTAAGACCCTATGTTAACTAGACTTTCCTTGTCCCAGGAATGTAAATAGGATCTGAGGGCTGGGGACACTACTGAGGGGCACAGCATTCTAGGTCACTTACCAGCATTGGTGTTGCTGGTAAAATGTTTTCACGTATCTGAGACAAAGCGAGAAAAGTGAGTACAAAGCAGTGTCTTTCAGTGAAGCCAAAAGTATTCATTTTAAAGGGCTATCCTTTATTCTGAAGTTATCATTTCTCTGTGAGTGTGTGTCAAAGTGTTATTTCTTTTATGATATTAAGATGATGGTAGAAGATAGTGTTTTTTGTTTGTTTGTTTTGAAGTTTTTTAATTAGCAAAATTCTTATTTGGAGCCTATGATTTTTCTTTGTAATTTTGCTGATGAAAACCATGAAATTCCCAAATCTGTGAAACCCTAAAGCCTGGGAGTCCCTGGTCTGGGCCACCCCTTCTAGGCCCTTAAGGCCTTAGATTCTGCTAACTTAGCAAATCAAGAAGATACAGCTACTCCCCACTAAGAGGGGCAGACAGTGGCTAAAGACATTGTCAGTCCTCACCCTTTGGCACGAGACTAACAGCAGCAGGCTTCAGAGATCCTCCCTGTTCCCAGTGCTAATCATTAGGGACACTTTGAATAGTTTTCATTTGGAGTCAGTTTGATTAGAAAACCCAACCCCAAATGAGCTCGGACCAAAAAAAAAAAAAAAAAAAAACACTGGCTCATATCAAGTCCATGAACACAGCTGGCTTGATTCTGGGCTCCAAAGATGCTACGAGGAGCCAGCTATAGGGTCTACTTCCCCTGGGCCAGCTCCATCCCAGGTCCATGGGAGCCCCGGCTGCTCCAGCCTCCTGTTCATCACACTACTTGGTAGGAGGGAGTTTGCACACAGAGGTCCCAGAAGCGGTCTTGGTGGCCTGATTGCCCTGATTAGGGTCATGTGCTCCTCCAGGAAGGGTGCCCAAGGGGACAGAATGAGTTAGTGACTTAGATTATGTGTCCTACCCTGAAGCCCAGAGCCTAAAGCACAAGGCTAAAGGTGGAAAAAAGGTGCTATCCCCAAAGCAGGGTACAGTTACCCCAAAAAGGTGGGGTAGAGGCTAGAGAAAAGTACTGTTGTTTCCTCCTAATTATCCCTCACATCAAGCCCTGTCTTTCTCCCTACAGAGACACTATTTTGTCATGTAGGGGGCAATTCTTGCTTGATTGGGCAATTCAGCAGTCTCCTTAATCAGCCTCTAAGCAGCCACTCCCTACCCCTCCAGGGCCTGTGCACCTGGCTGCCCGAGGATACTTCTTTTGTGATCACATCCCTTAAGTGGCTTAAATACTCATCTACCCAAGTTTCAACCCGCTTTGTGTGGTGTTTGTGCCCTTTACAATTGACCCTAAACCTATCCTTGCAAACTGATCTTGCATCCTTTCCTCCCTTCCTCTCCCCCCCTAACCACACACACCTAAACTCAAATACATCATATTATTCTCAAGCTGCCTCGTATCTTCAGCATGTCTCCTTTCCTCAGGCAGTGCCTCCTTTAAAATCCAATCCTGATGCCATCTCTTCTGTGACTTCCCTTGACTCCCAGATAGTCGAGTCAGCCACTCACTCCTCACTGCTTCCTGGGCACATTGTTTTTTAATGCTGATTTTTTTTTTAAGTTACTTGTTCTTGATCTCGTAAGTAGCACACAGATACAGTCTTACAGTAAAGATTCAAATATAGAAAATGTTTGAATTCAAATATAAAAAATATGTGAGGTTCCCTTAATTGTTTCTCCCAATTTCGGCTCCCTCCACAGAGGTGAGTATCCTGCCAGGCCTATTTCTATGAATTTATATACATACATCTATCTTATAGAAATACTGTTTTCTTCCCCACAAATGCTACCATGCCTTATGAATGTGCCACAATTCTTTTACTTTATTTCTGAGAGCGTTCTATGACTTTATTTTCCAGAGCTACTATTACCTTTCCTCCCCTTAGCAACCATACTTCCACCTCCAATAAATAAGCTTCTTTTGTTAATTGCATTACTTATATAACAAACATGTACACAGCACTTACTGTGTGCCAGGCATGTTACAACTAAAAGCTCATGGAACGCTCACAGCAACCCTATGAGGTAGGCACTGATATTATTATACACATTGCACAAATGAAGAAACTGAGGCACAGAGAGATTAAATAATTTAACAAGAGTCACATCCCTAGTAAGCGGTGGAGCCAGAATTTGAACTTCAGAAGTCTGGTTCCAGGGTCTGCACCACAACTCTGCTGCATTATCTCCTCTCCTCTCCTCTCCTCTCCTCTCTGCTTCAAATTTACCTCCTTGAAATTCCAGAGCCCCTGGACAAAGTTGAATTCCGAATCTCCTATTAGCACATTCAAGTCAGCGGGCAGTGAGAAGGCATCATAGGCTTTTCTAGAGGCCTGGAAGTGGGGTGCTGGTGTAACAAATACCTAGAAAGGCGGAGGTGGTTTTGGAATTGGACAGTGGGCAGAGGCTGGAAGAATTTTGAGGAAAATGACAGAAAGAGCCACGATTGCTTTGAACAGACTGTTAGTAGGTATATGGATGTTAATGCTAGTGAGGAAGACAGTACCTAAATTGCCATAAAGAATATCTAAATCATTATGAAAAGACTGTTAGTAGAAATAAGCACATTAAAGGCACTTCCGGTGAGGGCTCAGGAAGAAATGAAAAACATGCTACTGGGAATGGGAAGAAAAGAGATTCTTGTTCTATAAGCAAAAACTTAGCTGAATTGTATCCTGTAGTTATGTGGAAAAACAGAAGCTGTGAGTGATAAATGTAGATATTTAACTGAGATTTCCAAGCAAAGTGTGGAAGGTACGACCTTCTTTCTTCTTGCTGATTATAGTTAAACTGTGAGAGGAGATAAATAAATCGAGGAAAGAACAGTTCAATATAAAGAAACCAGGACTTGAGGATGTAGGAAATTCTCAGCTTTTCCAAATGGCAAAAGACACAAAAATAAGAGACTCACTGTCAGGAATGCCTACTCTAGAGAGAGGGATGGGGGTGTGGCTGCACAACCTTTTGCTAATATCTCAGAAAGACCAGAAAATCTGAGTATTCAGCTGCTCAAAAGCTCTTGAAATAGTTTAAGGGTGTGACTCATAGATCTCCTCAGTCATCTCACAAAAAGTCCAAAA